ACCTTATTTTGCATGTGGAAGATGGGCCTGGTCGCCCTTGGGAGCCTGCTGCATTCACCATTCACCCCCAGGAAAACATTTCCAAGGAAAGTGGCAGGAGCTGCTCCCTGGCCTTCCTGGTGTGACGTTTCTCTCCCTGCAGCTGCTGTTCGCATGGCCAGGTCCTTGGAGCCTGGGGCCTCGGGTCCAGCCACCACTTCGGGTGGCCTTTTGGGACTGCCCGTGGCCCAAACCTCTGACCTGGGGACAGAGGCCGGCAGGCTTTTGCTCAACAGCCTGGCAAACCTCAGCATTTCCAGAGGCATCCGTTGGGATGAGGGATGCTTTTTATCCCCAAAGGGTGTCAGTAACGGTGACAGTGATGACAGTGGAACGCCTCTCTGTCTTCCGCCCGTTCTGAGCTCTGACGTCGTTATTTCACTCCCCTGAGCCCCCCATTGGCTGTTCCTTTACAGGCGAGGGACCCTTGGCTCGCAGACTCAGACGTGCCTGGGCTCAGACAGTGACAGGCTGGCGGGTCCCAGAGGGCAGACCAGGCCTGGGTCAAACCGCACCCCCAGAGATTCCCAGGGCATGGGGAGCACTTTGGGAGAGCCGGGAGAATCTAGCGGGAGAATAAAGCCCTGTTCCCTTCTTAGGTCCTGCCGGCTAGCTCTGGGTTTGGGGCTCAGCCCTGCTCTTCCTGGTTGCACAATGGAGGGCAACTTCTCCCTAAGCCTTGGTTTGCCCATCTGCAAAGTGGGAACAGTGATGGTCCCTGAGCTGGGGGGCCTGGGGCATATGTTGTTGCTGTTAGAATCATAACAGTTCTTACAATGGGTGGTTGCAGTGAGCCTGGGCTGTGGACCAGACCACCTGCCACCTGCCCCGCCTGCTCTGTCCTAGGCCTGTGTCCCGTGGTCACAGGAGAGTTGAGAGTTGAGGTTGGGGGCAGTGGTAGGACCCAGTCCTGCATGTGCCACACTGGGCATTTGGCCTGGGATGTCTGCTCCAGGCCCAGGTAAGGGAGTGGTCTGTCAGACCAGGAAACTGAGGCAGGGTCATTGTGGCTCCATATCTGTGGTTAATAGCTGGGTGACCCTGAAGATGCCTTGGGTTTGGCCTGCTCAGCCCTTTTAAAAGGTTTTTTTTTTTTTTTTTTTTTTTTGAGACAGGATCTCACTCTGTTGCCCAGGCTGGAGTGCAGTGGCATCATCATAGCTCACAGCAACCTCCAACTCCTGGGCTCAA